GGGGGGGGGATCAATTATATAAGATCTTTTAGTCTTTTAATATGAAGCCAGACAGCCACCGATAAGGTTATAGCTGTGTAATAGAAGTAAATTTATGAGTGGACCACATAAAAACAACTATGGTATAAACTGTTTCCCAGAAAGGAGTATGCTAATTTAATGCAATAAATACAGTACGAAGACCTAAAACATACTAAAATAATAAACCTAACCATTCTCTGAACAGTTAAGGACTCTCTCTTTTCTTATGTATCTGAGCACTAAGATGTAGATTTTTATTTGCCAGGGTGGCAAACAATGCTCCTTTTGGTATATTCACCAAGTAGTGCCTATTATTTTAGGGGAGGGGTACAGGGAGAGGGGTAGAAGGGAGAGAAAGTATCACTATGGCACAAATGTAAAAAAATTATTATATGCATAAAACTGAATTCAATTTTATAAAGCTTATAAAGCCAAGTACAGGGGCTCAATGAAGCAGGGTTTTCATAAGTAAGTTAACTTTAATTCTACTTCTTAACTGTAATAAATGATCACGTAAAATTCTAGCATTGTAATTAATCTTAAAATGACTTACCTAAGTTGATGTTCCCTCAGGTTTGATAAGGCTTCCATGCCATGTAAATAGGAATACACTATTTCCAGATCCTGTTGAAAAAAAGGACAGGAATCATTAGGCTTGTCAGGAAAAAGAGCTTCTAAACTAAGTCACTATATTTAGACCAAGTGAAAGATAGGTATGTTTTTTTAAATACAAGTTTTCTTAGACATTAAAAATAAGCATTATAAGAGAAAAGCTGAACTACGCAAATGCCACCTACTACAACTGCGTTTGGGACGTACATAAAAGCTATTACAATAAATTGGCTCAAACTTAAAGAAAATAAAATCCTCAAAAGTTGTTCTTTATTTATCATCTATTTTCTGCCTTTTACAGTAAAATGCCAAAAGTAACATTTCAACTTAAAGTATAGGTATTTGCCAATACTATGATTAAATCAAAAATTTTCTTAGTAAATATAAAATGCACATTATTTCATCACTACACTGAAAAATGAGAATGAATTCATTTTTTTTCTATTTTTACAACAATGACATTTCTTATATATAGAAGTATTTAAGTTTAAATGTTTTTGTTTAAAAAAAAGTCATGGTTTGTTTTTCTAGATCATATTGCAACACACAGAATAAACATTCAGTTATCTGTCAAAGTTCAGAACTGGTAAAAATTCAAAATCCTGTTTACACATTTATATGACAAGCCAGCAAAGAATTTTAAGACTCCAATAAATATCTAGCGTTATATCCTGTTCGTGATATCAAGAATATGAATGGATATTTAGTTTTTCAAGACTGTCTTGGCTCTTTTGAGTGCCCAGAATTTCCATGTGAATTTTGGAATCAGCTTGCCAATCTCTGGAAAAAAGCCAGTGACATTTTAATAAGGATTGCACTTAACCTGCAGATCAATTCAGGTAGTCTACTAATCCATGACATGGGATATTTTTCCATTCCTTAGGCCTTTAATTTCTTTCGACAATGTTTTGTACTTTTTAGTGTACACTTGCATGCACTACTTTGGCTAAACTATGCCTCTTTTTATTAAGAAAACATGTCTGGAGCCTTAGGAATATCTCTCAAAACAATTCAAACTCTATGTGCCATCAGACTTCGTACATTACGGGCACAGATAGGGACAATGATTCATGGAATAGTTCAAGAATTCAAAACCTTTTAAAGAGTATACTAGGAAGGTTTTTGGTCTAAAGTATTTTTTTGTAGCAAAAAATATTTCTATTATTTAAAAAATAATATTAGAATGTGCTAAGGGGGGCCCAGGCTGATGTGGCTCAGTTGGTTGAGTGTTGTCCTGTGCACCAAATGACTATGAGTTCAATTCTCAGTCAAAGCACACACCCAGGTTGTGGGTTCAATCTCTGGTCAGGGTGCATACAGGAGGCAGCCAATCGATGTATCTCTCTCACACTGATGTTTCTCNTTAGAATGTGCTAAGGGGGGCCCAGGCTGATGTGGCTCAGTTGGTTGAGTGTTGTCCTGTGCACCAAATGACTATGAGTTCAATTCTCAGTCAAAGCACACACCCAGGTTGTGGGTTCAATCTCTGGTCAGGGTGCATACAGGAGGCAGCCAATCGATGTATCTCTCTCACATTGATGTTTCTCTCTCCCCTCCTCTCTAAAAATCAATATACATTTTTTAATGTGCTAATGGGGGGAAAACACCTCATTTATAATTCTAAATTGTCTCAATTTAAAATTTATCAATATTGGAAATTTAAAGTGGTGCTCAACTTTCAAATAATTTTATTCATTGGTACTGTTGTTTCCCACAAGTCTATTAAAAGCCATTTAAGGACTGAAACTTAAAACTGGACCCTATAAATTCAGTACAAACAACAAAAAAACCTTTCCCATCATCTAGTTAACAAAGTGTACATTCCTAAAGCTAATAAATCCCTTCTTTAGAAGCAACTGGATGCCAAACATAACATTCTATTTGCACCTAGGGAAAGCCAATAAGAATATCCTGATCAATGAGTTTTCTTTAATGCTTATAATAAAATATCCTTCTGCATAATCCTAAAGTTCACACGCTATTCAATATATTATAAATATGCATCTTACTTGCAATTGTTAAGTAGTACAGAAAGACTACTGTTTCTGAACAGCTTCTATTCTGAATCTAATATTGTCTTACTTTTTTCCCCCTTAAGTGCCTATCAACCTACTGAAACCTGCCTGACGCCTACAACTCTTTTAGCTAAGCAAACAGACAAGACTATTTATATTCGTTTAACACTCATGAAGCAAATAAATTTACACTACCAAAAAAAGTACATTTGGGAAAGCAGTAGAAAGAAGTAAAGAGAAGTCNGGGGGAGAAGGAGAGAGAAACATCGATGTGAGAGAGACACATCGATTGGCTGCCTCCCACAAGCACCCTGATAGGGCCGGGGATGGAACCTGCAACCCAGGTACGTGCCCTTGACTGGGAATCAAACCCTTGACCCCCCTCTGTGCGAGGGCTGGCGCTCTAACCACTGAGCCACACCAGCCAGGGCTTTAGTCTGTTATTTCTTAGTATTATGGAGCTTCATAGTTGTACAGGAGTCACCTTCCTATGTAAGTTAAGCCACACCTGTTATGTGTCCGTATTATAGACATGAACTTAACTTTGAATGTATAATTTGCATGATTATATAGATTATATCTACGAACAAAAACTTCCACCATTAGACCTTTATCTTAAAACAATATGTATAATCGTAACTTGCAAATTAAAACAGATTGTTTATTAGTTAATAAGAATGTGAAAAATAATGGTGTCTTGTCACCTATAAGTCACTGACATGAGGTCAAGAAGCCTATATTACAAAACTAAGACTGTGACGCAAAGAGACTGCACATACCATTCCTGCATGGCCACACTGAAAATAAGAATGTGAAAAATAATGGTGTCTTGTCACCTATAAGTCACTGACATGAGGTCAAGAAGCCTATATTACAAAACTAAGACTGTGACGCAAAGAGACTGCACATACCATTCCTGCATGGCCACACTGAAAATAAGAATGTGAAAAATAATGGTGTCTTGTCACCTATAAGTCACTGACATGAGGTCAAGAAGCCTATATTACAAAACTAAGACTGTGACGCAAAGAGACTGCACATACCATTCCTGCATGGCCACACTGAANAAATTAAAACAGATTGTTTATTAGTTAATAAGAATGTGAAAAATAATGGTGTCTTGTCACCTATAAGTCACTGACATGAGGTCAAGAAGCCTATATTACAAAACTAAGACTGTGACGCAAAGAGACTGCACATACCATTCCTGCATGGCCACACTGAAAATGTAGTTTTCCCATCCATATGAATGTAGCTGCATAAATAAAACATTCGCACCTCAAATAATCATGACTTTTGTGAGGGGTTAAATATGGCCAGTCACGCAATACACAACCAGGAATCCTTGCCATTGTTTCATGTATTTTATTTTATTTTTTTAAATATATCTTTATTGATTTCAGAGAGAGGAAAGGAGAGGGAGAGAGAGAGCTAGAAACATCAATGATGAGAGAGTCATTGATCGGCTGCAGCCCACAACCCGGGCATGTGCCTTGACCGGGAATCGAACCCTGATCGCCTGGATCCTAGGTCGACGCTTAACCGCTGAGCCACGCCCGGCCGGGCTGTTTCATGTATTTTAGATGTTAAACTAGGCTATAAACTTCTTAAATGGATTCAACAATTATGTCCAGAGTTTACGCTTAAAATCGTCTCAAAAGAAACTTGTTTTAAATGGTTATGGCAGGAAGAGCTTATAAACGGGGGGAGAAGACATTATTTTGCAGGAATCTGTTACACAGAAAGAAGGCAGTATTATCTAGCTGGAATTAGATGGCCTGGCAGATGGATTCTGTCTAAACTTGAGAAACTAACAGAAGGAATGGTGAGAAATTGATGCCTAGATGGCAGAGAACAAACGAGTAAATGTCATGTTTCCCTCTGGGATCTGAACGTGACCATCACAGATTTGGGTAAGTAGGAAAAGCAGAGAAGCTATGGAAAAGGCCCCGGGAAATCTCTGCTCTCAGACTCCGAGGAATGAAAGACATTTGACTAGAGATGAACAAATGAAATGCAAACTAAAGGAAGAAGGAATCTGTAGCTAAAGAGCCTGGTAGCCAAATACGAGGTTAACCAGGGGCTGGGGGTTGCAATTAAGGTAAACATCAATGAAAGGCAAAGAGGAAGACAAGGTTTCTTCTTTTCTCCTAGGGTCAAGGTGAACTGGGCAATTTTTTTAAATAGGCAAAAACAGCCTTTTGAATCTTCTTATTCGTTTTTCTACCCTCTCCCAGGGTGTCCAGCAGCCTCACATTATCACAAACCTCATTCCGGGGCACTGTGCCCTGGTCAAAAAATTAAATGAAGACAATCTGAACACAAATGTGGACATGAGGGATCAGTGGGGGCCCTTGAATCTTCCACAGGGGACCTGTCCATCAGCATTTGCATTTCCATAGTCCAAAAAAATCTCTAAGTGATATGATATCTCAGGCAGCACAACCAAGAGAAATGAAACAGAGCAGCAGTGTACAGGAGAAGATTTGAGGGCACGAGAGCCATGCGAAGCAGCCCAGGCCTGCCCGGGGACCTACCACCACCCCTCCTTTCACACAGATGCTTCCCCGTAACGGTGGGCCTTTATTAAATTCTACAAGTTGGTACAGAATTGCCTTTAAGGGTGAGGTGCTGAGGAAGTCTAGCTCTTCAAAGCAACCTGAAATGTGTAACCTTTGGTGTAAATTAGATAAAACAGGAAAAGAGTTTTCTCTTAAGAGGAAGAAAGGAATGTATGGCCTTCAGGAAGTTATATTCTTGGATCCTAATTTTTTCTCTCTCTACACAAACAAGAGATATTCACAGAGTGAAGTTATGTTTCAACAATCTTGGCTATAGAGAAAGAAAACCCACTGGAGAGTTAAATCACCTAAAGTGTTCCAATTTCTACTTCTGTCAAGAAACTATGATATGCAAACTGAGAACTCTCTAACCTCCCCAACTGCATCTCCCAAGACAAACGAAATTCGCAAGACTATCACAATTTTAAATAACCCT